CTTGCTGCCATTGGAGATACAAATTCATATTTATACGATTAGGTGCAATTATGTGAGTCTCTCAGCAGTACTTGGAAACTAAGAGCAGAGGAATTCAGTAGTTGGGATAAAGCAGATTTTGATGAAGAATCTATGAAATGTTGAAGATAGTGGTTTGAGGAAATAGAACATAGTGTATGGCTAGATAGAAAAGGAGGTGAGGGCAAAGAAAGTTTATGTATTATTAGGAAACCCAAGATGAAAAGATGAAGAGATGGAAGTACTCATTAGGCTTAAGTACCAAGTACCCATTATTGGCTATAAAGGTTCAAAAGGGTTAACATAATACAAAGCTTTGGTGGGGTTTTATAATTTTAATATTTTAATCTTGGGTGACTTCCTGATGATAGATATTCATGATTATGATCTACAGTGGTCAGCTTGGTGTTACTACACTGAAATACCTGAGGTAATTCACTCATAAATAGAGAAGGTTTGTTTAGCTCATGGTTCTGGAGGTCCAGTCCAAGATTGGGTGTCCTCATAGCTTTGGACCTCTGGTGAGGCTGCCAGATGCCAAAAGCAAGGAGTGTGTGGCCAGCACAAGTAGATCATATCTCAAGCTAAGAAGCAGAGAGACCAAGAGATTGGGTCAGAGAGTGGGTACAACCTGGGGGCCAAGCTTTTAAAACATGGGCCTTGGGGGACATTATCCACATTCAAATAATAGAATGGCCTTAAGAGTAGGTGGGAGAGAGAATAAGGGAAGAGTACTAGAGTTAAAGAGGTCGAACTGCAAAGTCAGAGTGTTGAATGGATTATCTCTTCTTGTCTCAGAAGTTCCCCAGAATTTTTTAGTTCCTGTCTGAGACACTAATCTCTAACCCAGGGCATGGGAGCCAGAAGGATCTTGGTCTTCAAATGATATGCTGTTTGCTAGAAAAGGGAGAAAAAGAAGGAGGAAGAAGAAAGAGAAGATGTGCTCAAGATTCTTCTGGGAAAGAATCTTGAATGGGAAAGCGAGGGAAGGGGGAGGGGAAAAGAAGAAACAGAAAAAAGGAAATGAAATGGTCCCAGACCTTGCAAATACATTTCTACCAAGGCATCCTGCATGTCATGTTGAAATGTTTTTTGACTTGAGTTGTGATCTTTCTACCTCATGGGGACAGCGTAGTTCCTTGACTTGTCCATCATGATACAAAAGAATGTGTTGTATCATGGCAAGGGGATTGAAATTTGCAAATGGAAGTAAGGTTGCTCATCAGCAGATGGGGAGGATATTCTGGATAATGAGTGTGGGACCAAAGTGACTACAAGGGTCCATGTAGGTGGAAAAGGAAGGGAGAAGAGTATCAGAGTGAGGTCATGTAAAGACTCCACCCAACGCATGCTACCTTTGCAGATGGGAAAAGAGAGCCCTGAGTCAAGGAATTCAGGTGGCTTCTAGAAGCTGCAAAAGAGCACCCTAACAGCCTGCAGAAAGGAATGCAGCTTTGCTAACTCCTTGATTTTAGGCTAGTAGGAGCTATTTCAGATCTCTAGAATTTAAGGCAATACATTTGTTTATCAGGTGACGGGAGTCACATAGGTGTTTTCAGCCACTGAGTTTGTAATTTGTTTCAACAATAGTGAGAAGCTAATACATACCCCTCCAAAAGTCTTGATCTCTTTTTATCCACTGTGAAGTTCTTCCAACCACTCATCCCAGGCCTGGGGGAGCTACTTTGCATTTGAGCCACTGTGGTTGACTTGGCCACCTGCTTTATGTAGGATTGGGTGAGCTGGTGTCTCAAACCTCTTCCTGAATTCATGTGGTTGGCTGTCAGCCAGGGAGACCTCCATATGGAGGCCAAATTCCTCCTGAATGGAGTAAGGATGCCGGTTTCAGCCCAGAAGTGAAAAATCTTGGCTGGTCTATCCTAGTAAATTCTCTAGATGCCTGGCAAGCACTCTGGTTTGTGGCATTCTCTCACAGCTTGAGCCTCAGAATAGACGCTGGCCCACCACAAGCAGATTGGATACATACGTTCCTGAGATACCACTTTCTTCGTTTCCTTTTGAGTGAACCGAGGTGGGCTAGGAAAGATGAGATTTTCAAAGTAGAAAAGCATTCACTGACCTGCAGACTAGAGGGTCTCACAGCCATTTGCCCTAGTCACCTCACTGTGCAGATGATGGGGACTTGTCCAGAGTCAAGCTAGCAAATTAGCTGGGACCATTTCTCTTTGTGTGACTTGGCAAAGAGGAAAACTGTCTATTAGTTTTCAAGTGGGAGTCTTGGAAGAGGATCCTGGAGAGGTCAGTGCTGGTGAACAGTCAGAGAGAGCATTGGCAGAGCAATGTTAGAAAAAGTTAAGGAACTGGGCAGGAAAGCAGGCAGCAGCGCGTAGCTGGGGAGGACAAGGGACTTGGATCCCCAGATGGTTCATGATCATACTCAACATTTGCGCCTGTCTTTCCACCCGATGAGGGGCTGGCCTGGGGGCCTCCGTGAGCAACTTCCACCAGTGCGGTTCAGGGTGGATCTCCCGGGTCTCCCCTATTTGGCCCGCCTGGGCTCTGGGCGGGGCGGGAGGAGTGCGGGGGTGGGAGTCTCGGAGGAAGATGCACGGAGCTGGCTGCAGGCCGCGCGGGCGGGGTGCGAAGGCAGAGGGGTGGGGATCTGGGGTGGGCTGCGCCCTCCCGCTCCCACCCACTCCACACCCCGCCGAAAGCGGACACTGTCAGCTGATTCACTCCCCTTTCAGGAGGAGGGAGGGGAAAAAGGTACCTAGCCCCTTTCTGCTTAAAAAAAAAAAAAAAACTAAACTAAAGGGGGACCCCCAGCAGCTTTGCAGCCGCTCCCTCCCCACGCCTGGACCATGCACCCCTGCATCTTCCTGCGCGGCCACAGGCGAGCCCTTGATTTTGGGAACTAGGGCTAAAACTTTTGACTCTCCTTCTCCCTAACAACTGAATCATGCCATGTGCCCGGAGGAGCTGGCTTGCAAACCTGTGCGTGGTGGCCCAGCTCCTTAACTTCGGGGCGCTTTGCTATGGGAGACAACCTCAGCCGGGCCCGGTGCGCTTCCCAGACCCGAGGCAAGGTCAGTGGCTTTTCCTTCTTTCCTTTTAAAACGGGGGGTGGGGAGACCTGTGGAAACTAGCTCGCTCCCTTCTCCCTTCCCCCACCCGGTGGAGCTGCACCCTGCCCACCGCTTTCTGCCCAGATGAAGGAAACGTGGGCTGGGAGCTCCGTGGGTGCGCTTGCCTCTCTCCGGAGCCAGCACTTGGGGGAGGACGGTGATTCCCACTGAAAGGGAGTGTCCCGCGCCCTTTCACACGGGTGACACTGCGGGCTTTGAAAGACTCAAGAGTTAGCTGGCGACTTCTCTCTCTCTCTCTTTTGTCTTCTCTTTGCTGCTTTGTTTCAATCTCCTATTTTTAAAATTCTGAACATTAAAAAAAAAATCTGTTTTCTAAAGAAGTTCCAACTGGGCACTGGCGGTCAGCGCAGTGTTTCTAGTTAGTCTTAAACTCCTGGTCAGGGAAGGGGAAATGTGATTCCGCCCTCCTGCTGAGCACGCTTGGCTGTGTTTTGATTTCCTGGAAAGATTTAGGGTTGTGTTTTTAAAATAACAGCCCTTGTGGGGGGAATTTACCTCCATAGGGGTTCACTGTTCCGGTCCTGCCTGGCAGCTGGCTGGTTCTCCTTTTGAAGATTGTGAAATGCATGTTATAGAAACCACTGGAGGCGGTGTGCTGGGTAGTTTGTTATTTTTTAAAAATATATTTTTATTAGTTGATGATGGACCTTTATTTTATTTATTTATATGCCGGTGCTGAGAATTGAACAGTCACTCACACATGCTAGGCAAGCACTCTACCCTTGAGACACAACCCCAGCCCGTAGCTTGTTGTTTTTAATATTATTTTTTAAACCTAAAGCTTGGAGTAAGGTGGTACTGCTCCCCCCCCCGCCCTTTGGACTCTTAAGGTCAGAGACTTTTTTTTTTTCTATTTGCTGGAGAGTTTATTGTGCCTCTGATAAAGAAAGAGCAACAGCAAGGGCCTGTGTGTATCTGCCCATCTGACCACTAGCCGAAGCCTTCAGAGTGCAGGAACCTTTGCTGCACTCAGCCCCTAATTCATTGATGGGGAAGCTGAAGATTGGAGAGTTTATGAGCCCTGCTAATGGTAGAGCAAGGTTTTGAACTGGAGCCTGATTCCTACAGTGCTGCAGCACTACCCCATTGAAATATTAGGAATAACACTCACCACCCCTCCCCCATCACCAAGCACTCAGTTAACATTCATTAAGTCCAGTGTTTGCTAACTGTGGTCAGGTCTTGGGAAGTGTTCTTTTCTGATAACCTTTTAATTCCCAGAACCACTTGGGTGACAAACTTTGCCAGCTTGTTCAAGTTTAGGGGATTTCTAGGCTGGGTTTTCTGCCCACGTTGCAATGTTCAAATTCTGCTGGGGAACTGGACAACTGCAGCTTTGAGAGCTATCTGATGCAAGTCCCTCCCTCCCTTTGCTTTACTTGGAAGCTGGAGCCGGCAAACACTGGGGTGAGATGTCAATGAGCCAGCAGTGGTTTGTGTAAACGGTGGAGATATAATCTCCCACCCCCAAGTTTAAAATAGCAGCGCTTGTTGTTCTTTGAAAAACAGTCCCTTTGTGAAAAGTCTCTCTTCTGAGGCAGCACAAACAAAGCCTGCAAGCACTTCCCAGGGCATTTGGAGAGGATTTGGTTCAAAGACATACATTCTCCTGCACTGGTTTCAGCCCCACTTGCTGCACATCTTTTTAAGGGAATTCAGCCTGGTATGGAGTGGACTCCTCAACCTTACTGGTTCCTCTCTGGAAAGTGAGAAGGGAGTCTTTCTTTTCCTTAGTCACCTGAGGATATTTAATATTGAAAATTAACATAAAGTGCTTCAGGTTTATTAGTGATGCATATGTATTTAAATTTAAAAATAATTTGTTTTTAGAAGGCATTTCACCAATCGTAATTCATTAATGGATTTACAAACAGTCCACTCTTGGTGCTAAGGAGAAATTTCTAAACAGACTTCCATTTAGAACAAAGGGGTAGAAAGAGGAGAGACTTAGGAGAATACAGGAGAGGGTGAACTCTTCTCTATAATTATAAGGGGATTCTAAAGTTTCCAGGGAATAGGGTGACCTAGATTTTGCCCCCAAATGACATTCCATTTCCACTCTGACAACATTTTTTAATTACATTAAGATCCTGAATATGTCACCTTGCAAGCTACTTCAGAAATCATCTCACTTAACCTTCTCATCTTTATTTTTACAGATGAGAAATGGGAGGCCTAGGTGGTTAGTCTGAGTCAGGATGTATTTTTTGAGCAACTACCAAATTCCACTTCACTAGGGGGTTGAAGCAGGCAACATAGGGCCTCATAGTTGGAAACAGATCCAGATAATCCACATATTAGATAATCTTGAAGGGTCCTTCTAGTTCCCAGGGTTGACCAAAGATAAAGCAAATCCTTTCAGGGACTAGAAGCCAGCAGATTCCACTAAGTCTGCTCAGTAGTTTCTCCACATCACTCATTTCTGATGTAAGAATTTAGTATGACTTTTCCAAGGTTTTTTGATTCACAACGAAGTACCAAAACAAAAGGAAAAATTAACCTTGTGCATAATATACTGCCTTTGTTCTACAGCCAATAATATCCCCTTAGGTGTATTTATTTCTGTACAAATGCTCTCAGTATACAGCGGTGTTTCATTCTGATGAACCCATGAAGTTGAAAGTATCCTAAGTTGAAAATGTATTAATGCACCAAAACCTTACCTACATCCCAGCTTAGAAACACAATATACTACCAGGTATGGCTGTTTCTGCCTGTGGTTGTGATGCCTCTGGTTACAGGTGATGAGTCCTGCTTCCCTACATGTTGAAGATTGAACATTAGAGAAGCACGCAGAGGCAAGCATATAAAGCAGGGTTTATTTTAAAAAAGGGTAGCATAAACTTCTCCCAGAGGGAGAAGGGGGCCAGAGCTGGTATCCTGGTATCCCAAGAAGCAAAGGTGTTCCACCTTTTTATAAGTCTTAGACTTCCTTTGTTTTCCTGCTCTCTTCCCCTTATCTTTCTCTTTCCTGCACAGTGACTAGGTCCAGGGGATGTTTGGTGGGGTTACCAAAAGGTGGGAAACAGGTGGCTGAAGGGGCAAGGGCAGGATGGAGCAGCCCAGGACACATTAATTAATAACTTTTACTACTCAATGTAGAGAGAGGCAATTCCTGGGACAGGTTGGAACAGGAACAGGTTCTTGATAAGGGTGGAGGAGGGGCTCTGAAGGCATTTCAATCCCTCAGGGGACAGTCTCTGACTTCCTGGACTCACTCAAATTGGCCTCCTTGATTTACCTATCTATCCTGACTGCCTGTCTTAATTCTGGCTTCAGTTGTGTGGCTGACTGGGAGTTGGGGCTTGCTGCTGCTGCTCATCATCATCAGAAGAGAGTATCATACCAAACATCACTGGCTCTGGAAAAAATAAAAATTCAGAGTAGTTTCCACTGAATGTTTATTGCTTTTGTACCACCATGAAGCGGAACATTGAAAGTCAGGGACCATCTACAGGGTTAACAAGGCACCAGTCACTTCCATGGTCTGTTTTGCTCTTGACAATTTGATGCAATCAACAGGGCAGGCACTTTATCCCACATTAAAGATGTGCTCCAAGGTGCACAGGCTTGCATAAGAACAGATGGAGCCAGGAACCTGAGGCAGGAGGATCTTGAGTTCAAAGCCAGACTCAGCAAAAGCGAGGCACTAAGCAAATCAGTGAGACCCTGTCTCTAAATAAAATAGAAAATAGGGCTGGGGATGTGGCTCAGTGGTTGAGTGTCCCTGAGTTCAATCCTTGGTACCTACTCCCCGCCACAAAAAAAAAAAAAAAAAAAAACCCACAAAACAGAAGGAGTATTGCAGTGTTTCAAGATAAGAGCTATAATCATTTATTTATGCTACTTGAAAAAAAATTTTGCAAGAAGCAAAGGATTCTAGATATCTTCTTAATGTAAGAGGAGACTTTGCAGTTTCATTTTGTTAATTATAGTAATCTTGTCCGGTGGGCATATGAGTTTTCATAGGGTTGGTGGGCAAATCCAATCTTCTGTGGAGAATTCTATAACTTCGAAGGGACTAACATGATTCTCTACAACTTGTCAACATAAGTTAATTTCTATAACAAAAATACAGTTGTATGGTTATGAAAACCCATGGAAAATAATTATGAGAACAAACCTCTTGTTATGGGCCAGGCTTTATGGACAATGACCAATCAGATCCCATTTTACTCTGAGACTTCATATCATATAAGAAATGCTTCTCCTACCAGAAAGCCCCACCTCTGTATCCATTAGTAGTTACCTAGTGTAACATACTTGGCAACACAGAATAGCAATTCTTATACAATGTAAAATTGTTCTCTTTGGTTTCCATTTTTCTTGGACAATGTACCTTTTCAGAGATTTATTGTCTAGATGTTAGTAACCATTGTATAGTGTGTACTGAACTAGGGTTTTGACCCCCTTTCCTTCTGCTTGCTTGTTGCTATGCCAACCTGGAAAGTCCTGTGGGAAATACCCATGTACCCATTGCACTGTCTCGCTAACTGCCCAATTCAGCTTCTTTACCTGCTTGCTTGCAGCTACGGCAACCCAGATATGGTTTTTGCCTTTAAATATCCTAAAATGCTCAGGCTTGGGGCTGTTCCCTCTAGAGACAGTTATGGGTCCTATGGGTGGCAGTCACCGGCTGGCCTGCTAAATAAAAGACTCTTCAATTTGGACAACTGGGACTTGGTGTGTTTCCTGAGCCATCTGCCCCATAACACTCTGTTACAGGAATTTCATTACTTTGTTTAGCAAGGGGGTCTTAGAAAACCAATTGATCTTTTAGATAAAAGTAAACATAAAGAATAAGTACAGATGGTCCTGCGTCAACAAAGTTCCAAAATGGGCACTATACAGAGATGAGCATGGTCACTATATAAGGATGACACAGAAATTGGTGGAATGTTTCATAAAAAAGAGCAACCTAAACCTGAAAAAAAGCTGTC